AGGGGCGTGCACACAAATGGGTTTCGCTGGATCTTCCCCATGCAAACAGCTGTCATCCATGGACTGTTCTATGTGGTCAACACACGGATGTACGCACACAGGCGCCCACCCCCCACCCCACCCCCGGAGACATGCTCCACCTCCACATCTACAGGGCTTCAAGACGCTCGCCTGCTGTGAGAAAAGGTTCAAGGGCTCAGAGCGAAGGGTGCAGGATCAAGTCCACACTCCGCCACTTTAACGGCCGGTCTGCACCCCACATGGACGGCAACCACACTGTGTGTGGCACACAACACTAGAGCCTGCAGAGGGAAGGGAGCATGCATGCACACAAACACACGCGTGCACGCACACACAGAGAGGGGGGGCAGGCCACTGGCCCATCCGGGCACAAAGTCAGCACGAGGGCAGCCTTGCCGGTCAAATCTTTCAGGAGGGAAACGTGAACTGCAGCATCCATGAAGTTCTCCTCTGCCTTGGGCTTCTTCTCCCCACTGGCCAGGAGTCATCAGAGGGCATCGTTCTAGGTCTGGGGAGGGCAAAAGGGCAGCCCGCCCTGCAAAGGATCTCAGCACTTTACTTGTTTATTTGAAACTTAGTTTTAGTTTGCTGCTAAAGTTCAGTTCCTAAGTGAGCTGTTTATCTCAGTGAGGCTATTGTTTACAGAGAGTGTTTCTAGTATGAACTGGAAGAGGAAAACAGATTTATTTACTATTCAAAGCTCCTGTCTTCGTAATCAATTTTTGTTGTTGTTTAAACAGCCTTGGCAACATTTTGCTCTTTAAACAGCTTCTGATGTTTCTTCTTGCACAGCAACCGAATTTAAAGAGCACGGTTCTCAAAAGGCTGCTCCCAATCTATTCCACAATGATTTAAATCTAATCTTCAACTAATTTTAACAGATCTTTAATTTAGTCTCCCTGCATTTGGAGGGGAAACGGTGGAATAATTCGCAACAAAGAAAAGTAACTGTACGTAACGATACCGAGGGCTGAGTGAGGCGGCTGGTGTCCTTAACGCTGAGAAATGCAATGATCACACAATGTAGATTAAGATCCAAAGGTGGATGGCAGTCCAAGACTCCCCCACAGGCCCCGATCCCTTTGGGTCTGCAGAAGAATAAAGAAGGCCATACGTGTTGACCGGCCGATCTGGACGGACAGAGGGAGGAAAGCGGTGCCAGGGTGAAGCCCTGACCTGCCACACCCGTCAAGACTCTCTTCTTCTGCCCTCCGTTTCCCCTCCCGGCTCTCCTGACGTTCAACACAAGTTCTGCAACGGGATGGGGAAGGGCAACCTTGCCCTGCGGCCACCACCGAGTGCTGGAAAAACACTGGCGCCTGCTTGAGTTTCTCCACGTGCCCCTTGGCCAAAGCCGGGTGATGGGCCGAGAGCGCCACTCAAGGATCGGCACTCAAGTGGGAGGCCCGGGCAGCGCGACCAAGTGTCGGCAGGAGGACCGGCCGGCCTCCTCCTCCTCCTCCTCCTCTCGCTGGCTTTGGGGCCCTGCAAACAGAACACGCGGGAGGGCTGGTGAGAGATGGGTCGTGGCTGGGATGGCGAAAAAAGGTGCCAAATGGAAATAAAGGCCTGGAGGGCGTGAGGCGGGTGGCGTTGGGTTTGCAGGCCTCTAAACGGGGAGGGTTGTGCTAAATGCGACCACAGAAGCCCAACGCTGCAAGGAAGTCGGGGTGGTGGTGGTGGCGGCGGGTGGGCAGCAAATGAGGAAGGGCCAAGCGGACCTTCGCTCTGGTGGAAACAAGAGCCCAACCGCGTGGTTCAAGCCAGCAGGGGTCCCGATCCGGGTGCTGCCCTTGATGGAGGATGCTGACGGGCGGGGAATGAGAAAGGTGGCCAGGGTGCAGGAAGACTGGGGTGGAGGCATGGGCACGCTCTAGAAATGCTGGAAGGACACCCACAAGAGAGGGCAGGCAGGACGCGAGAGAGGAGGGAAGCCCTGGGCTGAACTTCAGGGGAGCTGCCTGGAGGGAAAGAGACGTCCGCCCGGGGAGGTGTGTCGGGAGGGAGGGCGGCCCCCTCCCCAGAGCTCCAAGCCCAGACTCTAGGGGGTTTTCTCCCTCTGGATTTCCAGCCCCGCAACGGGAACTGGGCTGGAGGGTTTACAGGCCCCACTCCTGGCCTATGAATCAGCTGGGTTCCTGCCTGGAACTGCTCCTTGCCAAGGTTGCTCGCATCACAAGCCTTTGGAGGCCCCGAGAATGAAAGGATGGGACGAACGACGGTGGCTTCTGCCCAGGTGCCGAAGGTCTTTTCCCGTCTTCACAAGAGGCAACCAGCGGATCAAGGGAGAGCCCGCCGTCTGTGCTCCGTTAGCAATAGTCCCATCTGAGAAATCTGGCCTGCAAAGGAAGAGCTGCTTACGAAAGCAGGCTCGTTGTGCAACCCCAGGGGGATGGGGTCGGGGTGGCCAAAGGAAACCTCCCGCAGGCACAGCAAAGAATCCCCCCCCCCCGAGTTAGCAATAGTCCCATCTGAGAAACCTGGCCTGCAAAGGAAGAGCTGCTTCCGAAAGCAGGCTCGTTTTGCAACCCCAGGGGGATGGGGTCAGGGTGGCCGAAGGAAACCTCCTGCAGGCACAGCAAAGAATCCCCCCCCCCGTCCTGTGACGGGCTGCTTGGTGGGAGGTTCAGCACTCGGAGGCCAGCGTGGGTCCAGCATCTCTCTCCATTCCGCCCTGCGGCCTTGCACCCTTCCACGCTCCGGAAAGGGAGCCACGCGTGAGGTGCCTCTCCTTCTGGCTCGGGGCCACCTCCTCGGGTTCCAGAAAGCTGGCCGGGGGCCAGGAGCACACAGGCGGGGCCAGCCCAGGCGACTGTTCACCTGGAGCTGTGATAACCCATCTGTTCCCAGGTGAATTCAAAAGCCCCGTGTGTTTGCTGTCCTTCGCTGCGGTGTCCTGGGCAGGGTGAGTCAGCCGCTGGGAAAAGCCCCGTAACCAGGCAGCTGCCCTCCGAGGGGGCTGTGAAGCCGTCCCCAGAAGCCGGAGGCCATCCTTTGCCACACGGGAGGCGTCTCTCCGTGCGGGGAACACCGCGTTTAAAGCAGCGCCACTGAGCTTTCGATCTTAAACGCAAGCCAAAAAATCAAGTTGCATCGTCCGTGGGCTGAAAGAAAACTCTGCGCCTGGGCAGTCCTTGACTGCTAAAAAGTGATCTGCATGGCGAGCGTCTGGGCCCTCGTGAGCTCTTCCTTCCTTGGGCCTAAATGTTATGAAATTAGCGGGCTGGGAAAGATGCAGGAACTCCTCTTCATCCATGAATCAGGGCAGATGCAGTGAATCTAAGAATGACGCCTATGACATCTGGTCAGTTTTAGGGTACTTATGGGGTTGTGTGGGATTTTTTGTTGGTTTGTTTTCCACCCCCTCCAGTTTGCATCACATCTGCTCTTCAAGCTTCCTTTCAAACCTTTTAGTGACCCTATACGGTGATTGCCCACTCTCAAATTGAGCATTCCGGTCTTGCTTTGAGGGAGGTCCCGGGGCTCTGCCAGTCCGGCAGCCCCTCCCGCCCCCCCCATTCCCCTTTTCTGCTTCTCTCCCTGAGTGTAGGGTTACCAGGCGGAGAGTGTCAAACAGGGCGCCCTGGCTGTGTGAAGCACAACAAAAGGAGGGCTTCCCGAAAGCCCCACAGCGCTCATGCCGCCTGGCCCGGAGAGACCCCAAACCTTTGGCCAGGAGGGGCTGGCCGGCGGACCCAGCCTTGCCCCCCCTTGTGAGTCGAGATGGCGGAAGAGGCTCCCCAGCCCTCCGGGCTTCGCACCGAGGCTCCTCTGCCTTCCGGTTGCCCTCCCGTTCTTGGGCTTATTTCTCCTGGCCTGGGTCAGGCCGGCTAAAGTCCCTCAGGAGGCTGGGATGTAAAGCCCGTTTTCATCGGATTCCAGCACACCAAATGTTGTTTTTGAGAGCGCCGTACTTTCCAAGCCCGGCTGCTGGGCAGGCCTAGACATTTCATTCAGTCAAGTCAAAGCTAAGCAATTGGTTCCCCTCCGAAAACGCTTGGGGGCAGGTGTGGGAGAGCAACAAAGCAGGCAGCTAGACCTGGGGGTGGGGTGGGGGTGGGGCTTTCACCTGTAATTGCAGGGCTCTGCCCCGTAGAGGCAGGCCAGGATCATGTCCTCCGCCTGGTAGCCAATCTCGATCTGCTTGCTCACGGGCACACGAGACATGATGCTGGTGACCTGCAAGACGTACCACTCGGTCACCGCCTGCGCGGCGCTGGTGAAGTTGCTGAAGGTGCAGCGGGAGCCCTTGTCGGTGCACTGAGGAGGCAGGAGAGAGGGGAAGCGGGGGGGGGGAGTCATGCGGTCAGGCTGCTAGGGGCCAGAGGAAGCCTCTGCGTTCGTCCCCCACTACTGCCCTGGCAGCTGCTGCACGCACACGCACACACACACGCACACACAAGGGGCCAGAGGAAGCCTCTGCGTTCGTTCCCCCACTACTGCCCTGCAGCTGCTGCACGCGCACGCACACACGCACGCACACACACACATCCCCCTGCCGAGCTTTCCTGAGGCCATGGCTGGCCTGGAAGCAATGGACTTTAGACCTGCCGGTTGGCCTCGTCCAGCAGGCCTTACGCTCTAACTGGAGGCAGTTCCCTCTGGCCCAAGGCGCTCCCCCCCCCGTTGTCCTGGGACCCTGCACGCCTTACAGGCGAGGCTGTCCAGAGCGCCCAGGGCCCCTTCGGTGGGGGGAGGCTCTGCTGAGCCAGGCAGGCAGGGCTGGGGAAGGGGCCCTTTTGTCTTTGGCCTCCCCCCCTCCCCTCCCTTCCGCTTACCAACTTCAGAGCCAACTTGTATCTCCTGCCTTCCGGGGTGGCGAAAGAGGAGTAGTTCTGGAGGGCCCCCAAGCTGACGGAGTCGTTGCCGAGAATGTCCAGGACGACCGGGTCGGCCCCTTTGCTCTCGTCGATCACCACCAAGGGGATCTGGTTCCACAGGCGCAAGTTGAGCTTCTGGCTATCGTTGGCCGGAGGAGCGTCCGTCTCGTTCTCCTGGCCAGAGCGCAGGATCCGTTCCAGGGCTGCGTCCATGAGGTCGTCCAAGTCCTTCAAGTAGGGCTTTGCCTTGTCATACCTGGAAAGCAACCGGATAGGCTTGGGGGTGGCTGCCGTTGCCGTGGGGAGGGGAGGGCTTGGCAGAGACCTCAGGGCACTGCCAATGGGCACCCTGTGGGGCGCACAGAGTGTGGGGCTCGTTCTTCACCCCCCCAGCCTCCTGCAAAGGAAGAGGATGGGGCCTCAAGCAACCCCTGTTGATGTCGGCGTGGCTCCGGCGGGGACGGTTTTGCCGGGTCATGGAAGATCCTCCCCCCCCCCGGCACGACCGCCCTTAAAGGTGTCCCTGTCAGCTCTCCTCAGAGGGGTCCTCTCGGGGCGTCTGTTTCCCCGAAAGGAGCCTGCCACCCAAGGCCACAGAACCGAGGCCACCCCGGGAGCTCTCCAAGCAGGATGATGGTAGAGACCGGAGGGGGGGTGTCTTGGGGGGTCATGGGGGGTGGTTCCTGCCTCCGCCCAGAAGGGACTCACCGGAAAGGGCTGGCGTTGCAAATGGTGACGGCGGGGAAGGTCATGGACTTGAAGCCGATGGCCAGGGAGGAAGTGACGTTGTAGGAGAGGTAGGTGTTGATGAGGATGCCCCACTGCCAGAAGACCAGGGAGGCGAAGAGCAGCGTCAGGAAGAACCAGACCACCTTCTTCTTGGGGCCTTCCCGGATGATCCGCTTCGGCCCGTGGGTGTTGGTGTTGTCACAGTACCAGACCAGCAGCTCCTTGTAGGAGTAGCCGGGCCCCTTCTGGAGGCGGTGGAGAGCCTTCACAAAGTACTTCTTCAGGGTCCCTGGGGAGCCTGGCCGGAAGGAGCCGAGAGAGAGAGAGAGAGAGGAAAGGAAAGGTAGGTGGGTGGCTGGGTGGGTGGGGAGGACTTCCTTAACCCCATCCATGCAGTGGTCATGGGTTCAAACCACACAGTGGGGCAAAGGAAGGGTGGACCTGCTCCGCGGGGCAGAACCACTGAGGGGTTTTCTCTTTGGACCCCTCACTGAAACCGCCCCTGTTCCTCGTGGGAAGGTGGGAGGAACCGTTGGGATGGCCCGCCTCAGGCGTCAGGATCCTTGGGTCAGCCCAGAACCCAGAGGACGACAAGGCGGCTCATGTTAGGACTGGCTGGGAGGCGCCAAGGAGAGGATCCACCTGCTCCTCCTGCTTTTAGCCCCGGGGTGGCGTGGGGGTGTGCGTGTCCTCCTAGCAATGTGGGCAGGTGGGCCGGCTCCTGCCCCAGGAAACCTCTCCCCCAGCAAGCGCTACTGCCGCAAAACCACCCCCCCACTCTTGCACCAAATCTCCCCCCAGAGCCCTGGGGGCGTTTCAGTCCAACCGCGCGGAAGGCCCCTGCCCCAGACACGCAAGAGAGCCTGCGCCTCATGGTAAGTGGAGAAAGCTGAGCTGGCGAGGGGGGGGGATCACAGTGCTGCCTGGGGGGAGCTGGGTTCAAATCCCACCCCAGCCATCACGTTTGCTGGGGGATCTTCGGCCAGCCATGCTCTCCCATCCTGAACGACGGGAGGGTTCTTGTGAGGAGAAAGAGAGGAGAAGGAAGGAGGGGTCCCTGACACTGCTTCGTGCTCCCCGCGGGATCCCCGTGAGGCAGAGGAGACGAAACGGGTGACACTCCCGCCCGAGGCAGAAGCACCGGGGCGGTCCTCGGGCTCTGCTGGCCGGGCCCTCCTCTCGGCGGTGCTGAGAACAGTTCCTCGCCTGCCACGGGGCGATGCCACGGAGGCTGCTGCCTGAGCCACAGACAGGTTGGGGAAACCCTGGGAACCGCTCTCCGTCCGTCTGCCTCCAAAGCGCCAAAAGGAGAAGCAGTCAAGCGGCACAGCCCGATCCATTAAGGGATAAGGCCACAATCCAGAGCACAATGGCTGTGATCGGGTCAGTTGGCAAGCAGGGGGCACTCCCTGCACCTAGGGTGAGGGTGGACTCCCCCCTGGCGCTGGGCAGGCAGCCTCCCAAACGCAGGTGACACCTCCCCCCCCACCTCCGTGCCATGTTTGCTCTGTACACACGGCAGAACCGGTTCCTCTTGGTCCCATTGCCCTCACAGGCACGTCTGGAGAGGGCATGAGATGGGCCTTCTCCGAGGCGGCTCCTGGGCTGTGGAACTCCCTGCCACAGGAGGCCCGTTGGCCCCTCCTCTTGTCCTGAACTCTGACCGGCAGAGACCTTTCCCTTCGTGACTGAACAGGCTATGGCAGAAGGAGCCTTTAACGGGAGATGTTGAACCTTTTAAAATGTTCCAAATGTTCTTTGTGAGTGATCTTTTTATATTGTTACATGTTTAACTGCACTTTAATGCTGCGTTTTATGGTGGACAGAATCCTGTTCCTTTACCTGATTGTGTGACAGCAATTGAGTAAATGTTCGC